TCAGTCTTATAGAGTCTTATATACTCGCCATATTTAAAAAAGAAATCCATACTGGAATATTTTGTTAACAAAACAAAGAATACATTTTTCCACCGACCAACGATTTCGACGTTTTGACCACAGTGCTATATGCGTGTCTGTGTGTGTGTGTGTGTGGTTGACCCTTTTGCTAAGGCAGAGGCAAAAGTAGGCGTTACAAAGCAACAAAAACAACAACTAAGGCCCATGTGAACAAAATGTTTGTTCATAAAAATTGTGCCTTCTTTTTTATGTGCAAATACGAGTACGAGTATACGAACATACTCGTACGTACTATACTAAAGCCTGTACGATATAGAAAGCTATGTGTGTAGGTTTGTCTGTGCGCCTATATAGTATACTCGTATTTGTCTTGTGAATTTCGCGCAACATGAACCATAAAAATGCGTCTGGGCTGAGGTCGTTTTGGGGGTCATTACATTTATAGTACGATTATATGTGTGAGTATGTGTTGCGAGCTGTAAATCATTTAGATGTGATAGCCCAAGAAAAGAAACCCAAACTCAAAGTATTGTTAGCATTGTTTATGTTCTTGTTGCTACTTATTGTTGATTATGAAAGCCTGAAGAATATTAAATCGTGTTTAGTTTATTTAAACTTGTGATGAAAAAAGAAGCTAAGTAGAAACTTGGCGGGGGCAGCTTTAAATCCCAAATATTTCGTATTTGAAAATTGCAGAAACTTAAGATTTGTTAGAAAACAATAATGGATATATGTACTATATTTCAGATTACGAGCTCTTAATATATTATATTATTGCATTAGCTAGGAATGAATAGAAGTAGTACAGTATATTGTCAAAAATGTCGATAGTTAAGGGCAAGCAATAAATAATGCATTCCCTTTAAGGAAGCTGTTGTTCTTCGAATATTCCACATATTATTAGAAGTCTTCTGAAATGTTATACTGACTTATTATAAATATTTCTAATCAGAACAATAAATTGCTTACAAAAAATTAGAGCTTTGGAAAAAGGGTCTACAAGACGACAACTTTTCAACTTTTTTGCATCAATACCAAAATAAATAGTTAAACAATCATGTCTGTTTATCAAAATCAAGATGTTTTGTAAATAAACCTGCTGCGAAAAGTGAATTAAGCTTTCAAAAATACTTACATACTTGTATATACGTATGCTACAAATATTCATCAAAATATGGAGCGTGGACGCAAATATTTACCCAATTTGTTCTGAATTTGTTTTCCTTGTGCCGCTTTCAGCTCTGCCCAAATTTTTATTATAGTTTTGATTTATTCTTAGCCCAATTGTTGTTGCTAGGCGTTGAAATACTTGACCACAGCCCGGTTGTTTGTTTCTTTAACTGTTTTACTGTTTTACATAAATTGTTGGCATGCTTTGTGATGATTTGTTTTTCTTTTTGTTTATTACACACACGCACAGGCACAACAAATGGCTTAATTTATATGACAAGCCATAAATTTGGGGAGCAGCAGTTTGTTTTCATCATCGTCAGCAGCGGCAGCATCATTGTTCACTTTTTTTTGCTGCGAGCCGACGGCAAACGTGGCGTATGTGTTATTTTTTATTTCCTCTGCATTTTGTTCACAGTCGCCGACGGCAGCAGCAGCGGTAGCAACAACAATAGACAACATTTTGTTTGTCCTAGAGTTGACACATTTGGCCAGATTTTGAAGTGTTGCCTGCTTCCAGGCGCCGCACAGCGCAGACAAGAAAAAAAAAAAACACACACACGCAACAAACAAATAGGCAGACGAAGGAACTTTCGCTGGCCATGAAAATGCGCGCGCTAAGTGAAAAATCCGTTGCACGTAATTAACGCAATTAAAATCAAAACATTAATGACCTGCGCTGCTCGGCGTTGCTCTGCATTTTTGCACACACACGCACACACACACGCACACTCTTTCGCACAGAGAGGGCAGAGCAAGGCAGCGCAGTCGGTGGCGACGCTGACGCAGGAGGCAGGCAGCAGGCAGCGGGCAGCGGGCAGACGACGCTCACGCAAAATGTTGGCCAACAAATGTTGCTGCTATATGAGCATTTCTGCTGATCAGGCTCGTTCATTATAATGCTCATTTATATGTCAATTGCAAGTTGCAACTTGTTCAGAAAAAAAGAAATTGCACCACTTGCCTTTTTCCTTCTCGCTTTCGCTCGCTCGCCCCCCCTCTCTCTCTCTCTCTCTCCCTCTGCCTCTCTCTTTTCAAGCAGAAATCATGTTGTCTGGCGCCATTTTTTTGGTTAGCTGTCCTTTCAAAGAGCAGATTTTTCGGCAAATTGGGGAAATAAATTGTTGCTGAGCACATTGCAGGCACTGAGCATGTGCCGCCTGACATCCCCTTCTCTACACACACACACACACACACACGCATAGATAAGAGTGCCTGTAGCCCCAAAAAATGCGCAACTGCGCGCTCTCTCTCTCTCTCTGCCGCCTTGTCCCTCTCAGCTAGATGTGGCCTCTCTCTCTCGCTCTGTCTATCTTCCGCTCGCGCAGATATCTCGTTGCTTTTGCTCTCTGCGGGGGTCGCCCTTTTACCCCTACAAAACAACAACAACAACAACAGCAGCAGCAGCAGTAACGAAAGCAATGGCAGCGTTGAAATATTTAACGCCACTAAGTATGCTTCAAAAAAATATATTTCCAAAGGCAACAAAAAATTTAAAATTATTGCTAAACGAAAAAACAGCAACATATATTTGCGCCTTGCTTTTGGAAAGTAGCTGCCACAGACACACAGACTAGCACACACACACGAACACACAGACACAGTCACAGACACGGAGAGGCGTTGCTGCATGTGACAGTTCTACGCTCCCGTGTGTGTGTGTGTGTGTGTGTGTTTGCGTATTTTACTTAAAGCTTTAATTGCCTGGCTGGCGTTGAGACTGTGGCAGCCATTGTTGTTGTTGTTGTTGTAGTTGCTGCTGCTGCCCGATAATTATGTCGCAAAACTTTAAAGCTTAACCCGCCATTACTTTAAGAACCGCTCGCTTACTTTTCGAAGCCATGTCAGTGTGGAGTGCGAAGTGTTGAAGTGGACTGCGGGCACTTTCTGCTGCCTAGAATGCATTTTATTTACATTTTGTGCCTCTTCGCTCTCTACTCCAATGATTTTTATTGCGATATTTAGCTGGCTCTTGAGCTTTAATATTTCTTAGCGGGCGTTTAAATAGTATTGTGAATTCGATATAGATTTTTCAAGCTGGCAACAACAACCAAAGAGATAAGTTGCCCTAAACGATTGATTGCATGTCGCTTAGTTTTAAATACATTTGACATATTTATATAGAAATGTGCCATCTAATCGACAAACTGTAGCAAGAGATTACAAGAATTTAGAATTTACTTGGCTTAAAAATTAAGAGCATAATTTTATTCGAAGCCTGGAAAAGGCAACCAATTCCAATAGAGTATTATAGAAGTGTTCAAAGCATGAGAGCTAGAGTTTTAACTGTAAGTTTTTCCTGCATTTTCGATTGACAACACTCTCGCATATATTTTAAAATACTGGTTCTTCATATTTCCCTCAAGTGCTGACTAAAATAGTGTACAGACCCAACTGGCCGGAGGGCTGGCTGCTCACAAAGCATGTGCAAAAATATGACTTTGGAGCTTTTGGCTTCAATCGAGAGCAGCACAGGACAAAACACAAGCGACGAATGGCATGAAGAAGCACAGTGGGAGGCCCCCAAAGTATTGGCAACTAAGTGGTAAGCAGCATTATTTTCCAGAGTGGATGGAGACGAATGACTGCAGGCTTTGCTCAATTGCTTTGCCGTTGGCAAACAATAATTGTGAAGCGAGCTAAGGCCTATATATACATATATATATACACACACACACACGCACAGACACAGACACATACATTATGCAAACGTGTGCGTGAGCTAGAGAGTGTGTATGTATGCGTGAGTGTAAATGTTATCTTACACATACATGACTTTGTTTTATTTATGCATTTCTACGCCATTGCCATGTCACAGCCAACGCTTACATTTCTCTACCTCCCCTCCCCAGCCCTCGCCAATCCACAAACCACACCATGCGACCTTCTTCTTGCTAGCCTCCTCCTCCTCCTCCTCCTCCTCTTGGCATTCGTAACTTAACGTTTTGTGTAAATATTTGGCAAGCATTTAACTGACTTTTCTACATAAAAGAGACTTCTTTCTGACAGCACTGTTCGGAATTGCATTTAAAAATTTATAAATACAACGTATTTGCAACAACAACAACAGCAACAATTGGAAAAATAACAACGGCCTAAAATCAGCAATGCGCATTATCAACAACAATAGTAACAGCAACAAAAATGAAGCGAAGAAAAAAGACAACAAAAGTGTAGAGATAAAGAGATGGTGACAGAGAGAGGGGGAGAGAGTAGTTCGTCAACAAACGATTCCCACGATAATTTGAATGGCAAATATTTCTATATAAAACTATAAACAATTAGTGAAAACAAATACACATTAAATTAAAATATTTGCCAAATGTTTTTACTGACCGGCAACAGCAACAGCAACAGCAACAATAATAACAACAGCAATAGCAACAATAACAAAAAATTAGGCGATAGCGGCGACTAAAAACAATGACGATGCCAAAGTGCTATGCAAATTGCTCCTAAATATACCCAAAGCGTCCTGCCATCAACAACTAAACACAACAACTGCAGCAGCAGCGGCAACAACAACAAAAGCTACAATTGTTGACGTAATGACGTGCTATGTGGCGTATACGCAACATGCCGAACGCAGCTCCAATTTTGTATTTATTGTTGATAGCATTAAAGCCGCTCGGAAAAAACAATAGAAAATATTAGAGGGACTTTGCACAGATGGCCCCAAATAGGCCCCAAATGGTTAACTGGCCGGCCAATGGACATGACTATGGCAATGGCTATGGCTATGGTTGGTGGTTGGTGGTTGGTCTATTGTTTTTCAGTTTTCGGCAAAATAATGATTTATTGGCACTTACCGCTCAGTGAGTTATGTCCGCAAGAGGGCGCTTTGCCCAGCAGATAATCGTCCTTGCAGATAAACTTATTGTCGTCCAGCACGTAGAGCTGCTCCCCGGTGCTCAGCTGCTTGCGGCAAATGCAGCACGTGAAGCAATTCAAATGGAACACCTTGTCTCGAGGCTTACGAACCAGATCCGAGGGTGCGATTCCCTGTCCGCAACCGCTGCACTTTGTGCCGTAGCGCCTGCATAAGGAAGGAAATGGGTGGCATATAAATAGAGTCGCTTAAAGTTTTAACTACAATCGCTAAATGGTCTAAACGGCCTCTCCAGCAGCCGAATATCTTCAGCTTACGAGCAGTTTTTTTCTATCAGTAAAACACACAAGCACTTTTATGGCAAATGTACAACATTTTTGGTTGTTATTATATAAAAAATAAAAAAATATGTAAAAAAACTCCTAAAAATACGAAATAAAAAATATCAAGACAAAAAGCTTCCCTGGCAATAAAATTCCATTAGAAGTCTCCTTTATCTCTTATTTTTCCCAAAGAATTTTAATCAGATCTTTATTATAATTTAGTTTTCTCCTCTACTCAATATTTTGTTTAGGTCATGATAGACATTATTGTATAGTTGGATTCTAAGCTTTTAAGTTGAAATTGTAAAGTAATATTATATTACACCTTATATGTATATATGTATAATATTTTAATTTGTACCAAGACATGTGATCTTGTTTACTTAATAAAAGTAAAAAAAAATATATTAAAAGAAATTTAAAAAAGCGCATCCTGAATCTTTAACTCGGAGTGATGGAAAGTATAAGGCAATTGAATTTATTTTATACCTTATTTTTAAAGTAATACCAATTATTGAGAACTTCTTAATAAATAGCAAACGGCTTATACTAATATTTAATGAGCAACTGAATAGTTGGAAATCGAGTTGAATGAGGGATCTCCTAACTAGTTATGTTCTTAAAAAGCTCTCGCACTATCTGTGTGTTCTAGAAAATATCCTCTTATTATGATTGCAAATGGGCTAAATTAAAAGGGCTTTGTTTTAATGAATTGGCACTCATCGATTCTCTGGGAACGGAGCAGACAAAGGCCACCCATAAGTGCCGAGTGCTAGATGAATTCTTCTTTTCGATTTCCATCTGTGGGCAATGAACGCGGTGTCCTGTCAAGCATCGCATTGACACGTCTTTTGCCAACTCTTATGGAAGAGTAGGTGCCGAGGGTCCTTTGATTGGCAGCCATTGGTTTGGTTGGCCGCATGGCGGTTGCATTCGCGAGCACATTTTTATGCAGGAAGGTGTTTTGCATGTTAATTGCTTTCACTCACCTTTTTTCCAAATGATTTTTCAATTAGAAAAATTCTATGCAAAGTGCTGGGCTCAATCAAATGAAATGGAAAAGCAAGCAAGCAAGCAACGCTCTTGACAATCTGCCAGCAGGACGAGGAGGCTGACTTGGGGAGAGGATCGAGGGCAATAAAACAAAACAGAGCCAGAAGAGAACAGAACAGAACAGAACAGAACAAAACAGAACAGAGCCAAGGAGTGGCGTGAGTTCTGCGATTTTTGATTTGCGTATTGCGCGTGTGTTTTTACCGGCACTTTGATTGCCAACTTGGCTTAATTGCTTTGCATTGCTTTGCTCTGATTGATTGGAATGTGAGTGACCTTTGATTTAGACACTGGTGTGCAAAAGTCTGTTGACAGAGCTGCAATTTTTAATTTTACAAGCACACCCAACTATTTTCTTTCATTCTTACAGACACAAACAACATTCTTAATTGGGAAAAACTTCTCTGACCTTTTGCCTGAGCTGCTCTACAAAACCTTCCCGTTTTAATGTGCGGATTTATTTTCATTTTGATGTGAGAGTACTTCTATTGTGTTGTAAAATATAGTTACCACTTACCTGAAGAAATCATTGCGACAATATAGTTTGCCTTCGCGACTAAAGCATTTATCCGTCAGCGGCTGGAGGCATTCACAGCAACGGACGCAGGAGGCGTGCCATGCCCGCTCGAGGACGTTGAGCAGGAATTTATCCAGTATGGGTTTATTGCAGCCAGCACAAGGATCGCCCACGCCGACCGGCGGTTCGCTGCGTCCTGCACAGACAGAGAGGGAGAGAGAGAGAGAGAGAGAGGGAAGTTGTGTGTTAGAAAGAGTGAGTGAAAAAATGCTTAATTATTAAGTGCGTGAAAATCCTTGGAGGCGCCAATTAGCACTTCGACTTGTGTGTACGAATGGGGGCTAGCTATATACACTACTTATATTCATATATATAATAGATGAATATATATATATAGTACATATAAATATACAATATATATGTTTATATGAGTGTTGTGTGTGTGTGTGTCTGTGTGCGTGCGGGCGCTCATTAAGTTTGCACAATGCGCATTAAGTTAGCCATGTGTGTGTGTGTGTGTGTGTGTGCAAATGAGCAGTCTGCTGGCAAACAACACTTACACACTTACACACTCACACACTGACACATTCACACGCACACACACACACACACGGACACTCAGCTGGCTCTTTACAATTTACAGTTGCAGTTGCTAGACAAATTTGACTTACGCATACGCCCCGTGGCCACTTTAGATATTTGCACAATTTTCAAGCTCAGCTCAGCCCAGGCTCTCGCTTCAGTTGAACGGGCAGCTTGTCAGACAGACAGACGGACAGACGGACAGACAGACAGTCGTTCGGTCGGTTGGTCAGTCAGTCATGCTGTCACGCAGTCATTTGGTGAGCTCTGCGCTCATTTACACCTTTTTAATTTGGCCACACGTTGAGTGGCAAATTTGCGCACGACTGAATAAGTTTGAATTGCTCGTCTTTTCCAGCAACAGCAGCAGCAGCAGCCACCCCGAGGCCATCCAGAGACTCTGAATTAAAATCAGAATCAGGGCTACGGTCACTGTTCGGACTCCACCGTTTACCGGTTACCGGTTACTGGTTACCGGCAGGTAGTAGGTGTGGCGCACACCCCAAAAGTGCAACCGTATAATGATAGACGCGTCGTTCAAGCAGCAGTAAGAGCGCCCCGGGCTGCTTCGACCTCCGCATGAATGAATAAAATAACCAGCGAAGCTTAAGTTCAACTTAAAGATGCAGCATGGAGCTGCCTGTTGGAGCTGTTGGAGCTGTTGGAGCTCGTTCGCTACTCGTAGTTGTGGCCAGTCAATCAGTCAATGGCATGGCAAACATACGAGGATAACCAACCAAAGATGACCGCCAACGACAACGACAACGATGTTGCAGCAAACCTGTGCGTTGTTTTCGAATACCGTTAAGTGCCTAGCACTAGAGATGAGTCAGTAAAAGAATCCTTAAGATTGAGAGTGAAAAAAAAGAAAACACCATCACGATAACAAGGGCAAACAAAAAAACTAGAGATGAGTCCGTGAAGTGATTGAAGAAGAAAAAAACTATTAAGACACACAAGACTACAGCTGAGAACTTGATCAGAACGTGGTCTAAACATAGACATGACAATAAATCAAAGCAAATTAAGGGAATACATAGTTTGTAGTTGAGAAAGGATATTGAAAAACACTACATTTCAAATATATAACAAATAACAATTGTAGACTGCATTTTAACTTGAACTACAAAGCGATTTATTAACATTTAAGACAGCCAATAAAAAGTGAACAATATTTGAAATAAAATAATGCATTTAATTGTAACATCTGGCATGGAAATATTTTGTCAAACACACTCGACATACTAGAGCTGCCTGATAAAAATTAAGGTTCTTTAATTGTTATATCTAGTATGGAAATATTTTGTCAAACACTCGAAACTCAGGAGCATTCAGATACAAAATAATTTATTTAAGTGTAACAAATAGTATGGAAATATTTTGTAGTCACTCGACACTCAGGAGCATTCAGACACAAAATAACTTATTTAATTGAAATATCTGAGTAGTATGGAAATATTTTATCAAACACTCGAAACTCAGGAGCATTCAGATACAAAATAATTTATTTAATTGTAACATCTAGTATGGAAATATTTTGTCAAGCACACTCGACATACTGGAGCTGTCTGATAAAAATTAAGGTTCTTTAATTGTTATATCTAGTATGGAAATATTTTGACAAACACTTAAAACTCAGGAGCATTCAGACACAAAATAATTTATTTAAGTGTAACATCTAGTATGGAAATATTTTGTCAAGCACACTCGACATACTGGAGCTGTCTGATAAAAATTAAGGTTCTTTAATTGTTATATCTAGTATGGAAATATTTTGACAAACACTTAAAACTCAGGAGCATTAAGACACAAAATAATTTATTTAAGTGTAACATCTAGTATGGAAATATTTTGTCAAACACTTGAAACTCAGGAGCATTCAGACACAAAATAATTTATTTAATTGTAACAAATAGTATGGAAATATTTTGTAGAGCACTCGACACTCAGGAGCATTTAGATGCAAAAAACTATATGGCTATACATATTTGTGTTCTCAACTCTTAGACATGTCGCTTCGTGACTCACGCAACAACATTATTGATTATCTATCACGCATCCAGCTCTATACAAACTCTCTAAAAGACGCAAAAAATTAGAGAAAAAAACCCGCACACCACAAAAAACGAAAAACAAAAAACAAAAAAAAACGTTGTGCGAAAAAGTTATTTTTGCACCGGTTGCGCCCCCTTGGGGCATTTTGGGTGGGCGTTGGCGTTGCTTGCAGAGCCACGCCACGCCACAACAGCAACAACAACAAGAACAAGAGAAACAGCACAAAAAGTTGTGTGAAATTTATTTTCATTCAAAAAGTTTTGCACTTTATATGCTTAAGTGGCAGAGAGAGAGAGAGGGAGAGAGAGAGAGAGAGGGAGAGAGAGAAGGAGTAGTAGAGAGGGGTAGGAAGAGGGAGAGAGGCAGTGGGGCAGTTGACGAAGAAGAACAAGCAGGAGAAGAAGACGATGAGGCGTTGCCCAATGTCCTGCATGTTTCATGTGTTGCTGTTGTTGTTGCTGTTGTTGTTGCTGCTACGCTTTAAGTCGCAGCTTGAATGCATTAATATTGCTATTAAAGTGCATGAAGTTTGTTGCGTTGTGCATAAGTCGTGAGTAGTCGTGAGTGACAGTAGCTGGCCGTGTTGGCCAACAACATTATAAATGAGCGACTGACACACTGATTGATTGACGAATTGACTCATTTTGCTGTTGTACTGCGGTCAGCAACAAAACTCACAACAACAACAACAACAACGATGACGATGACGATGACGACGACGGAGACGGAGACGGGACTTTAGCCGGACAAGACGAGACGCGACCGAGCATATGTCAAAATTGACGGATGTTATCAATCATTTCATGCCGCCGCTGCAGACAATTTTTAATGAAGGTTATAGACGTTTATAGACGGACAACAAACGGCAATGATCAGCCAACCAACGACCAGGCCAGACCAGGCCAGGCCAAGCCGAACCAACTGACCAGCATGTCGAACAGTCTCAGTATGAGCCTGGGTCCGAGCCTGATCAACAGGCCCGGCACCTTAAATGCTGACGTTATGTTGCCTTTTACTCACATGTTGGCTAAAAGCTGAAAAGATCGTCCAGACGTTGGGCATGCCTGCTAATTGCATGAATGAGAAGCCAACTTAACATAATGTGCAATATAGTATTGTGCATACGAGACTATGACAAATATATATTGCGATACAACACAAAAAATATATATGTACTATATATGCTTATGATAGATTGGAAATAAGTACGAGTAGGTTAAATAAATGTGGTCTATGTGAAAAGATTGCTGTCAGAGAAGTAAATTAATTGACATCCTTTAACAAATATCCAGCTTCTTCCAAATTCAAAACTAAATCTTTTTTTTTTTTCACATAATAAGTATTGGGAAGAAACTATTAAAAACTATTTTGATGCAAATAAAAATGCTTAAAAAGTATTTAATTCCCATCAGTTTAGAATCACTTCAAACAAACATTTTTTAATATGAAAAGCTGGGTTGAAAATTGGTCGCTAATTGAATTAATATGTATTACATATTTATTGAATATATATTTTCCATTTGTTTGATATTTTATCAATCACGCTGATTCTATATTCTTATAGAACCTTTAATAGCTGATCAACAAGTTTGTGTCGCAAACTTCAAATCAAATGTTGCGGCCTTGGAATTTTTGGAGATTTTATCACGAAACCTTTATAGAGTTAGAAGAGATTAAATAAAGTCCGTTCTATCTTGCTAAGTTTTTGAAGTTGCTGCCAAAAATGTAATTTCCCATTATCCCTAAAGCGTCTGTTCGTAAAATCTGATATGTTTGTTGAATTCTCAATCTCCAGCATTATGCAGGGTATTTGCAAATGAGGAATAGCCAATGCTCGCGAGACTCCCTTCCTTGCTTTCAATAATTTTTATGTTTTTCATACTCTTGTTATTCTCGCCGATGCGGCGCGACTTTTGTGCGACTTTTTTACGCCAGCGGGCACAGCGAGCAGCATTTTAAAAGCGACAAATTGTTGTTTGCAGACGCCGCCGACGTTGTTGTTGTTGGTGTTGCTGATGTTGCTGTTGTTGCGGCCGCCGACATCGCTTAAGTGTCGCAATTTAAATATTGTTGAGTGCACTTTTGGCTACCGTGTGGCACAGTCCCCTTGCCACGAAGCTTCCGCTGCTGCTTCTCTTGTGTGGACGTGAACGTAAACGGACAGCCATTTATTTTGCGCTTAAATTTATGTTACGATGTGAAAAATTGCGGCTACTGCAAAACGCCAAATGCGGCTCTAGGCGCTTCAGCTCCCAACTGCCAGCTCCCAGCTGCCAGCTCCCAGCTCCACTCTGACCATCTCATTCGACTGCACTCGACTGTCAACAAATGATTTGCAATGCATTTTTGTAATATATATACACATATCTTTGTACATATATATTTATATAAAGCAAGTATTTGTGTGTGTGTATGTGTGTGTGTGTGTGTGTGTGAGAAACTGCACAAGTGCAATCAGAAGTTCATGATCTCACAACGGCCACTGTGCAGCAGCCATTGACCGCAGCAGAGCGCAACAAAAGTCGCAGCAGCCGCTGCACGTACAAGGCTCGCAGCACG